AAGATGGCAGAGCAGCCTACAGTGGGCTGCTGAGCCTTCTGACCGTCGGCTTGGTCTACGACAGCGGCCGTGTGCGTCGGCCGCCCTGGCCCTTGCCAGGACGGCCGTCGGCGCGCTCCTTTGCGTCCCCCCCAAACTTCCATCCCGCCAGACCCCGCCACCACAAGAGGAAGGAGGGGAAGGGTAGTGGGGATGGTGGCGGGGGAGGCAATGAAAGGCAGGTGGAGCCAGGAGGCAACTGAGGTTGGAGTTGGGTTGAGGTCCTCTCAGGACCACTGGGAAGAACGCTATTCGTGTTGTCGTCTCCGAGGCCCCAGCAGAGCAGGTGATCAATGCCACCACCAAGGAGGTCCATGAGACAGCTCCACACACTAGTCTGTGGAAATAAGCGGCCCGCCGAAGATCATCCGATGTGGGTCGCATCTGTGGGTGAGAACGCCGCGGTGGGTTTTGGAGCCTTGTGTTACTGCGGACCCACTGGCATAGCGTTGGCGTGTGGGTGAGAAAGCCACGGCGGGTTGTGGAGCCGTGTATGACCGTGGACCCACTGCATCGCATATCTGTTGTCGATGCAGGCGCCGTGTGGTGCTAAGAGACGTCGGTGGATGAAGCCCTGTGTTACCGTGGATCCACTCGCATTGCGTTGGCTTGTGGGTGTGAATGCCACTGCGTGTTTGGGAATTATTTTTGACCGTGGACCCACTGCATGGCGTAGCTGTTGAGGATGTAGCCGCCGTCGTGGTGCTATGCAACGTCGGATGATGTTGTGCAGGTAAGCGGCGGGTTCTGAGGCCCTGTGTTACCCTGGGCCTACTATTGCGCCTTCGAGGTGCTGGCAGTCGCCGTATGATATGGCACAGTGCTGCTATCGCTTGGAGAGGCGGTGTGAGTAATGTCGTGTCCAGCTGCTGCTGCTGCTGCTGCTGCTGCTGCTGCTGCTGCTGCTGCTGCTGCTGTCGTAAGAGTGTGTGCGGCTAGTTGGTGCAAGAATAGTGCCGACATCATGTGTAGGGTAAGGTACAGCTGGTGGCGGCCGAGGCTGTCAGGAGCAACATTGAGATATAATGGCGCACTGACTGGCTTCCGTGAGGCAGGTCCTGTCACGGTATGAGTGTGGTGTTCGCCTCTTAACTGGTAGTTGTGGAGTCAGTTGGATGGGTGGTGCGTGTTCGTCTGCAGGCGGGGGATTCGTGCCACGGTCCGTGAGCGTTGCATTGGGCTAGGCGTCGCGTTGATAAATAAGGCTGTCGGAGGGATCGGTGTGAGGTTGTCCGCAGCACGCGCGGTTCCCAATTGGTCAAGTCGGTGGCGGTCGCATGCTTGGCTGGTGAGGGCGTCTGCTTCCGTCTTGTAGCCCATGTGGTCATAGCCGTGGTAGCATTCCTGCTCATTGTCGTCGTTGACGGACGCGATGTCGAAGGACAGTGTTGGGTATCACGTGTCAGAAGTAGACTTCCTTGCCATCTAGCATGCGGTTTCCGGTGATCATGATCTGGGTCTTGGGTGCCCGGGAGCATTGGACGAGTAGTAGTCGCCGTAGTTGCTGGCTCCTCTCCCTGTTGTCCGTCGTGAGTACGAGTCCTGGGGTCGGTCGGCTGTGGGGATGCTGGCGTCGTTGTCGCTGCTGTCCGCCTTTTGAATGTGGTTTCCGCCCTGCGGATGGGGGAGCCTGGTGGCCCCTGCTTAGGGGTGGTGGGTCCCGGGGTCCTCCCGAGGTCAGGGGGTGGGTCGGAGGGGTCGGGTCCTGGGCCCCCGTGGGTCGTGTGGGCCGTGGTGGTCACTCTGTCCTCTTCTTGGTATTGCATCGCGTGGTTCGTGTGATGGGTCGCGCCTCGTGGCGATGCCTCTCTGGAGCCGTCGTTGCGATGGGTGCTGGTCCTCCGTTCGGCTTGCACTGCAAGCTGATTTTGATGCCGTTGACGAACCGCAGCCGGGTGCGGTGTAGTCATGTGGGGAGGTCGTGTTTTGGGTGTCGTCGGTGGTTGGTTGTGCCATGATGCTGCACAATTGGTGAATTATGTATGGCGTTAGCACCTTCTGGTTCGCCGTCATGATGAATGGATCTGAGTGGGGCGGGTGGTTAGGTAGTCTGTCTGCTCTGGCTGTTGCGTAGTGCGCCAATGAGGTCTGTTATGATCTGGTCGTGCTCGTGTCGGTCTAGCCGATGTCTTGAGTTTGGTCGTACATGGGCATCCAGGCTGATGATGTTAGCCAGACAGTTCTCGATTATCACATGGGTTTGTATCTTGAAGAGTTGGGTGTTCTTGGTGTGGTAATTGTTGTTGAATGTTCTGATGTCGTCCAGTCGGTTGGTCGCATCGTACTGGATGTCCGCTGTCATTGTTCCCTGCTCCTCCTCCTTCTCCTCCTCCTCCTCCTCCTCCTCCTCCTCCTCCCCCTCCTCCTCCTCCCCCTCCTCCTCCTCCTGCTCCTCCTGTTGGGGAGCCCAGGCTCCGCCAGCGCGGGGCCCGGGCGCTTGGGCGGGGCGGGTGGGGCCCCGGCGTGTGGTGCCACGAGACCGTACCGTCGGGGCGCTGAACAAGGAACCCTTTTCGTTGAGGAGGGGCCCCGTGTTCCTTGATTGTGTCGCAGTTTGCCTTAGGTTGTCCTTAGGTTTTCGATGAGAAATCGAAATTCAACTTATGGAAAAGCGGGGCCTCGTTCCTTATTTATCGTTCCTTAGGTCAACGCCCCGACTGTATACCCGAGCCTGCCATCTTGGCACCGCCTCGCTGCTTTTGCAGAGGGCCGCGGCACCGCGGATCGCATCTCAGCCTTCCGGGAAGTGCAAGGGGCACTCGGGCTGGGAGAGAGATCGAGGGGAGTTCCGCTGCAGCTTGCGACAACGGCCGCTCTTGCAGCCCATTCGTAGTCACGCCGGGCAAAGAAAAGACGACGCCCGATGGGTGGGACCCATTGAATCAAGACCCTAGGACTTACTTGCCAGTAAGCTGGATACACATGGCGCGGCTGGCCTGGGCGAGAGCTGGATACACGTGCGGCCGCATGCTGTTCCAGCGCTCGGCCCTACTGTTGCCAGGCACGCCAGCTCTCCGCATGTGTACCCAGCACGTGGCCTCGAGATGTTCCACACGTGAATCTAGGCACGTGTGTTTCCCAGCTTCCCGGGGAGAGCAGGGCGCCTGTTGGCGGGACCCTGTGGTCCCCACGGCCATCCGACACTGGACCCCGAGACGAAAACGGGGCCCTCTGCGCGGAGCCCTCTGCCCACGACGTCGCACCCGCGAGCACGGGACCTCGTGGGCGGGACCTCCTGGGCAGGCCACGAGAGATCAGCAGGCATCGGGCGTCACGAAAGCACCGTGAAGTTCAGGCTTCCCAGATGGGATCCGAGTAGGTGGGGTCGCTTGGTCGCCGACGCGGCTCGATGTGGAGCCCCACTTTCTCCGCGCTGGCGTCGCCGAGGCACCGCCGACGTCGCCGATGCATCGGCGATGCATCAGCAGTGCGGCGCGATCCTCATACCCCATCTGCTCGGGCCCCATCCGAGAGGCCTCTGTCACGACGGTCGGCTCCCGAAGCCGCGAGACCAGCAACGTCGGGGCTGACCCACGGAGATCCCGCGGCCTCTGGAGGCGTCCGAGACCCCGAGCGAACCCGCCCCTCACCAGACCTCCTCAGCACACTCTGTCTACGGTTGTGGAGGACGATCAATGGAGGGAGCGTGTTGCCAAATAATTTCCAGATGTCTAAAACATGCAAAAATCATGGATTTAAACATGGAACAAGCATGCTTAAAACATGTTTAGAACATCTTCCCGACATTTCAGACATCTTAAACTCAATGACAGGACTGTGAGGGTGTCCATGGTCGTGGCATCCACAAGTGTACGGTCGGGAACTTCTGGACAGCGCGTCGCTCCGCCGCTTCTGGCCCACCACTCTGCGGCGCGACGCGCCAGCCACCTCGCAGTGCCCCGGCGTCCACGTCCCGAGCCTTCCCGAGGTCCTGCCCCGCGGCGCGGAGAGACACGCTGGCCGCTCGCAGGGCATGGAGTGCCTCCGCAAGGGCTCCCTCGAGGGCGCGAAGTTATTCGCGCTTCGCGGTCCTCGTTCCTTCTCCCCCTCCTCCCTCCTCCTCCTCGTCCTCCTTTTCTCCCTTTGGGGGGGCGGCGCGAGAGCGCGAAGTTATTCGCGCTTCGCGCTTCGCGGAGCGCGAAGCGCGAAGTTGGGAGCCCTAGCTCCGGGGCCGCCGACACGCTGTCCCAGAGTGCCTGACCGCAGACACCGCCACCGTGCCAGGCCAGGGCCCTCCTCCTGGGCCCTGGCATGGCGCCGGAGCTCCCTCCTGGCCGAGGCCAGCTTCTGGTATCGGCTACACTTGTGGTCGGCGGGGCGAGAGCGAACCTCTTCCGCTAAAAGCTAGGCGGGCTGCGCACAGCTCTCATTAGGGAGACAGGGCACAGGCGGGCGGGGCCTCAGGCGGCCGGAGAGGGCGGGGCCCGGGGTGCAGGCCTGGTATCGGCTACACGTAAGAGCAGCGACCCTTCGCCAGCGTGCCGTTTGGTGCGCGGCTTGCGGGGGGCGCGCGGGGGAGCCGAACCCCAGCGCGCAGGCCGCTGCCGTCGCACCGGACGCAACGGTCGGCAAGCCGCGCACCAGTAGGCCACGCTTGTCCAGGGCCACTCCCGCGCGCCCCCCTCCGCCAGCTCTCCACCGTGACCACTTCGTCTTGGGGGGCCTCTTGGGCGCCTCTGGGGTCGTCTTGGGGCGATCTTGGGGGCCCCGTGGGCCGTCATGGAACATCGGAAAGCCGAAAGGGCGAGAAGGCCCAAAGCCGCCCAAGAACCTCGGGAAAACCAATGCTTCTTATGCTTCTTGCCCCACATGCGCCCCACGTCTGCCTCCGCACGCGACCAGAGCCCCCGTCGCGCCGCGACTCAAAAACAGGTGCCGCCGACCGTGCGCCGCGCCCGGGCCCAGGAGGGCCCCGGGCACGGGGAGGCGGTGCTCACTGGGGGCGCCCCCGCCCTGCGCAGGAGGAGCCGGCCTGCGCGAGGGCGGCGGCCGCGCGCTCGGC